CTTTGTTGACCTTTTGTGTGCATAATAGATAAAAGTCAATGATAGGGCCCTAGTTTGGATGATAGCTGGGAGTTTGATCTCTCTGCATCTCCCAAATCATCTTACACTTGCGCTCATGGAGACTTACCTGCCTCTTTGCTTCTCACCCACAGTGCTGTCTGAAGACCTTTTCCCAGTTAATCTGTTCCAGCTTGGCTTTTCATGTTGTTATCTGAGCCCCTTACACCTTACACTCAATCTGTTGAAGCAGCTGCTTTAGTCAGTGGATGTAGTTCTTCTTCTCCCTTTTTGCCTCAAAGTTCCTAGAGTGAACACCCGCGGCACCATCTGCCCATCTCTACCCACCCTTTCCTGAGAGCTGCAGCCTGTTGCAAGGTTCCCACTCCTGGTCACAGAAATTAGACAAGGAGTCAGTACAATACAAGAGTCCCTTCTTCAGAGTTTTTTACTCTGGGCAACTAGATTTCTCTCAGAAGCTTAAAGCTGTGAGATTAAAAATTTAGGAGTTTAGAAGAGGCAGATTTTCTTCAGAGAAAGGCAAGCAGCAGACCAGTGAGAAGAAATGAAGCTGGCACCCAGCAGTGAGAGATGGAGAAATAAGAGGGCTGTCTGGCTGCACCAGACCCCTGGTTCCAGTTGTTCCTGAGGCTTAGGGACATCTTGGCCATCCTGTCCCTTTAGGTTGCTAAGCTCCTAAAAATTCCCCATCTAGTATATGAAGCCAAGTGTTCTAATTAATAAAGTACCACGAATAGTCATTTTTGTTTACCTGCTCATTATTAGTTAATAGTCTGCATTTATTGAGACTTTCCTCTAGGCCATTTAATCCACACAGCATTCCTCAGAGGTGAGTTTAACAGAGGAGAAAAATGAGGCTGAACCAGAAGGCTGGCCACCTTCTGGTTCAATGTTGTGCAGTATACACGGCAGAGCCCATACTCCTATCAGGTCTCCCAGATTTAGACAGCCTGGGCTCTTAACCATTCTATGCTGTCTGAATATCAATTAGACAGTTCCTTTTCAAGTAACAGGCAAGGGTAGAAGAATGGGATTTCCAATGCTCTCTTGCACTCAGATTTCAGCATACTTCTGAGTATTTGTTCCTACAGTTTCCTCTGAGTGTATTGCCTATTCCTCAGCCTAAACCTCTGCCTGATGAAGTCTTGTTCATCCTTCAAAGCCACCCTTTGATGTAACCTCCCATAAAGACTTCCCGGCTTCAGGCTTCTGAATGAATCACTCACTCCCTTTCTTCTTGCTCCCCAGTTCACATTAAATTATGGTTAGTTGGTTACATGTCCAACTTAGACTAAGTTGAGAGCTCCATGCAGGTATGGACTACATAGTCTTCATTTGTCCAGCTCTGCTCCTGACACAATACCTGCCCCATAATATGTGCGCAATAACTACTTGTTGAATCAAATTAAATTTGGGAGCATTCAGAGCCCAATCAATGCAGATAAAGAAATCATATTCTCTTGCCTGTGCAAATAAGAAAAATAGCCCAAGATGGTCCTATTGCTACGGGTCAGGTGAGCAGATGTCACTAAGAGGGATAAAGGGATCATCTGGTGTGACTAATAAGAGACTTCCAGCCCATCACTCCTAATACAGCTTACTCCCAATACCTATTAAAGTCTGACCACTGCTCACTAACGGAATTTGCAATCCCTGCTTCCACTCAGGCACTCACTGTGGCATAGAAAATAGAAAATAGATACAATTTATTTATGATCTTTGACTGCATCCCAGGCAACATTCTGAATATTTATTTTCATCAGGGCTGGCATTAGACTGAGTGGTACAAGACCACAGAGGATGAGACAGTGTCTTCATTTCCATGATGGGAGATAACTACTTCGTGGCCTGAATGTACCTCTAGGCCTGGCTCTGAAGTTTAAAGTTTGCCTTTTTAGGACAGTGATTACATTATCTCTTGTGGCTGAACTGTTCTCTGGTCTCTTCCACAAACTGACCAGTGGAGGCAGCTGGTGGCAGGCAATGGGCTTTGAGGTATATTGTATAAGAAACAGGAAGTACAGAAGCCAGGACATAGTATTTCGGTGAGAATGAGGAAGCAAGATAAATCACTGGTATGGTTTGCAAATTCAACACTTGTAGCTACACACAAGTTACCCACTTTTTAGGGAACTATAGACAGTATTTTATCTTGATCCCGTCTCCACTTGCTACCCAACCTATTTCTAGACTTCCTCCTTTGCACCTACAATTGCCAAGTCATCACTAAATGAACCCTGATATTAACCTAAGAAGAGATGAGGAGGCACATCTTCTGTAAAAATAAATTTTAAAAGATACTTGAAAGATAAATTTAAAAAGACTCTTGGAGTATCTGAACATCAGCCCCTTTTGAAGAGCATGAATAATTGAGAGTTCACTGAATTTCAGGCAGCCTCTTTTTACTGAACTTGAACTATTCAGTAAACATTCTGGATATGTAAAATAAGAACCTTATATATTTTGACATTTTTATAATAATAATATTAACATAGCATTAATTTAAGCATAGTAATCAGTATGTGATGCTTCTGTTTACTTTTTGAGTAGCTGTACATTTTTTAAATTCAAGATGAAATAATAAATGTTAATTAGTTCAATTTAAGACACTTAATAATAGATGGTACAGATAAATACATTATTATATACCTCTACTTATTTTTTCCAAGATTAAGAAGAAAAAAAGAAAAAGAAAAATGAAAATAAGACAAGCTTTTATCATGAATGGAGAGGCCTGAACTGTGGAACTAACACTGTCACCTAAGATTACACTATTCTGCTTTGTTCTTGTTGGAGGTGCTTGGTTCATGTTGGTTCTTAATGGTTCAGGAACTCAAGCTTTCTTTTTTCCTGGAAACCACTGTTTCTCGAGGTTCTGATTTGATTGCTTCAAGTGATTACTCACCTAGTACATAACATGATGGATTCAATGCCAAATTAAAGCCAGGATGCCACTGATTTTAGTTTTCATTTGACATTTCGACTTTCTATCATCTCAGAAGTACCACATCAAGACAAAGCCTCCATGACCCAGAGGGAATGAGAGCCTCTATTTTCCACTGTGTATCAGTGAGAATAAAGAAACTCATAACTCACAAGGAAGAGTAAGCACAAATGCTCTGAGTGGTCAAAGAAGTATACCTGTTTTGGAGATAATGTCCATCAGTGTCCAGGTTGATTTTGGTACTCTGTATCTAATCACCCTAGTCGATCCACATCAGAGTCAACAAGTATGACTTGAGGTCACGCTATGTACAGAATATTTTACTTGTTCTTAGAAACCATAAAAAGAGTGTAGGATATATATAAATAATTATGGCTATATGTATATACATGAGTTGACATGCACATATTTTCTAGCTCTGACAACTGAGAGGGCCAATAACAGTGAGCTTACCCACAGCCAGATATTAGTTTCTAAATACTCTTCTCTAAGGAAACAGGAATCCTTGGAGAAATGATTGATTCTAGGAGTGGGGCAGGAAAAATAAAAGACAAGCCTAGAGCATTTTATAATGCCAGAAAGTAAGGAGGAGCTCAAAAACAAAAAAAAAATAGGGACATATTAAAGGAACTCAGAAGCCAATCTGAAAGATCTTTCCATAGCCAAAGCTGGAATAAGTTGAGCAAAAGAATAAACAATGCAGATTTGATCCTAACCCAAAGTGTGAAATAAATATTCATGAGTCCATATATACATGAACAAATAAATAAATTGTTGAATAAATAAAGGAGGGAAAAGAGGCAGATTTTCTTTACAGAAGAATTCCAAATAATATGTGTAGACACTGCTCTTCCAGAAGGTGAAGTTTAGCACCCCCATCCCTCACTCCAGAGTGTGGACTGGATTTAGTAACAGGCTACCAAAAGATAGAGTATGAGAAGGGGAAAAATAAAGACAGTGGAGACACCTGGCAAACACTACCCTGGCCAGGTGGTCGCAGTTAATGTCATCTGTAACAAGGTCTATTGGTAGTATGCAATGACTGACATTATGTGATAAGGATACTTCCCCTCTGCCATGTTCTTCCCCACCTGTGAGCCCAAAATGGCCAAGAGAGAAAACATCTGGCAATCCCTAGATTGAGGGAAATCCTGTGAACACAAAATACTTCAACACGCTCCTCAGAAATGTCAAGGTCATTAACCAGGGAAGACTGACAAACTGTCGCAGGCCCTAGGCGGATGAGGAGGCATGATGACTGAATGTAATATGGTCTCCTGAATGAGGTCCTGAAATAAAAAAGGACACCAGTGATAAAACTAGTGGAATCCAAATGAGGTTTGGAGTTTAGTTAATGGTGATGTTGCCGTGTCAATCTCTCAATGTTGACCAAGGATGGGGGTGCCGGGACAGACCCTTCTGAGCACAGCACCCTGTGGACGGCACTGGTTGTGGGCCCATGAAGCCTTGGGGATTCATGTTAATCAGAGCAGAAGGGGGCTTGGTCTGTGGGGTCCTTGTCCTGGAGGCTGGGTTTTCATCTATAACACTGAATAGAGGCTAGTGGTGATTGGGGAGACACAACAAAATTGGATTTTAGTGATCAATCTGGTGGAAAAGTGTATAGTCAGTTTGAGAGGAAACACTATTGGCAGTCTTCCCAGTTAGGAATTTGACAGTCAGCCTTGAAAAGAAAAGGGTGGAAGCATGCATAACATAACGCTTTGTTTTCCTTGCCTTACACTATAATATTTGGCTGTGTTAACAATTTTGATTCAGGGCACAAGTAGCAACCCAAATACTGTCTTCTAATGTTCATTTCTTTGTTAATGATTTTATCTAAAAAGACTCTTTATCTCAGAGACACAGACCTTGCCAACATAGCATTTTCATTTTAGGAGGCCCTTTATAGAATTTGTAATGAGCTCATCAGGACTGTGATTGTTGCTGCCATATATTTTACTGCCAAGGCATTTAAAATCTGCTTCCAATTTGTCCTCCAAGAAGTTCTCAAACCAGTCTGAACTCTGTCTTCCAGGTACCTCCAGATCATCAGTCACTCGATGTAAACCAGGAGCCAACTGCCCCAGTTCACACAGTGGCATCAGTAGACAACTGTCCCCTCTATCTGTCACAGAAGATTCCTCTGCTCCTATTCTTGAACTTCAGAGCCGAGGATCCTCAGGAGTTTGTGGACATAGAGTTGAGAGACAGAACAGATCAGGTATGTGGGAGCTTCGGTGTGTTTTGGTAACCTTCTAACCAGCTGTGAAAGATCTCACCATTGGCACAGAATGCAGAGATGTTACATAGATTTTTATGCGTGGATGTGGGGAAGTTTTATCAAGTGGGAGGTGGAGGAAGAATGGAAATGTATAGCTACAATCTATGATATTAGCAGTATGCAGTGTAGCAGAGAAACCAAACACCAAAATCTGTTGAAAAACTTAACACATGGTTGGACAATGACTTCTAACGGAGTTTACAAAGTAGCTAGTTTTCTCATCTTCAAAATGTCAAAACTCAGCATCTTTTGTAACATCTCAGCCCTGGGATGCAGTAACAGCACACTGTGCCCATTGTGAAAAGAATAAAAACCCCAGTAACATCACAGAACCTGCTTTTGTCCTCATCAGGACTCCCAGTCCCTGGAGTCCTTCTAGTTTCCCCAATGTCACAGTTCTTGCAGGTGACTGCACTGGCCCCCCTCGTCAGCATTTTCTGACCAATCGAGACCTTTAGCCTTTCCTCACATCCCCGAGACCACTCGCCAACTCCCAGGTTACCAGAATTGCTAAACTGATAAATCTCGTAAGTATGACCATGAGTTTCTCAGCAAATTTATAATTTTTAATTGCAGGTGGGTCCACTGGGCTGCCACCAAATACTTTCACTTGTTGGTGGTGGACATCGTGTTGCTTGCCCCAGAGAATACTCTCAAGCCTCAAGTCATATTCACTTCCTCTCGGGTGACCATACTTTCACTTTTCCAGACAGAGCAAAACAATTGTTTGGTAACAAACACTTTCCTCTCTACCTCAGAATTTCTCTGTGCTTTTGTTTACCAAGTACCATCATTGTGGGGTCACTTTTGGCTTGTGTGTCTTTTTACCTTCCTGGTGTTAGCTTCTCTACCTGTGTCCATGACCACCTCCTCGGCATCTCTTCCGTCTGTATTTTCAACATCTCCCTTTCCCTTTGTCCTTCAGCTTGGCTGGCAGCATACTGAATAAAATCTCTTTTAGCCTTAAGAACAGTAACGACAACAACAAAAACAACAAAATATGCCATTTAAAATAACTAGGTAGTAAAACAACAACAACAAACCAACCCCAGAACTTTGAAAAAACTGGCTTTAAAAAAAGAAGAAAAATTGCAGCTCACAGGATTCAGTTAGGGGTAGGGGATAAACAACGGGTTAGAGGAGTTGTGAAAGCCTCTTCTAGTGTCCTACTAATTTGAGAATAGATTTTTTTCTATATAAGAAAATATATTTTTCAAAAATAATGTTTTGAAATGGTCTCTTAGCAGCTATATGAACCCCAAAGCTAAAATTCTTTTTTTAAAAAAGTGAGAAAAATATTCTTAAATCTTCAGAAAGATTTTAATTGGCTTTAATAAATTATAGAGATATTCCTATTGTCCCAGTTGTTTGTGAAACAGATTATTCCAGTTAATTAAATATGCTTGTTAATAAAAATGTGCCTTATCGTATACAGATTACAAATTTCAAAGACCATACCATTAAAGATCAGCTGGAACATAATTTACTCTTTCTGTGATTATTAGAAGCTCTTGGGGATATTCCAGTGCACCAAAGAGAAGAGAGAACAAGAGAATAATCTGAAAAACAGCTCACTATGCTTTCATGGATATTATGGTACTTAATCTCAAAATGAATCCCATGACATAGATATTATCATTGTTTGATAGAAAAAGAAGCTAAGACTGGAATACAACATGTTCTCAGAGCCATACAATGGCAGAGCTAGGACTTAAACTCATGTTTCCAAACTTCAATGGCCTCTACCATGAATTTGCATAACTCCAATAAAGTTTCATAGAAATGGATGGAATTTCTGATACTAATTTAAATGCTCTATATATACAAAACTATAAATCTAAGCAGGACTATAGAAAATCATGTTTAAAATGATCGGAAAAATAAGAGCTCTGGATATCCAATCTTTCTATGCTTTGTAAAATTAAAAAATCAGCAAAATTAGCCTAGTTAACAGATAAAGAATGAGGTCAATACTATGATACTATAAAGGGATTTAGGAGATTGTTGGTATTAATATCATCAAAAGCACTGTCCATGATATGATGGGGATATAGATGTAATTTTCAAAGAAAGTGACAATAAAGGCAGATGCCACCTCAAGGGGATACTGAAAATCTTTGTAAAATTATTCCTCATTTGTGAGATAGTCCGTGGAAATAATGATATTTGAAATGTAGTAGGGCATACCTTTCTCTTAAGTATCACTTCTTAAATCTCAGACAAGACTACCATTTCTGCCAGGAAAGAATACTTTTTCTCCAAACCATTTCTGAAACTTCCAGTGCTTGAATGCAAAGCTAAAGGCTGAAAGCTGTGACATATGAGTATTCAGAATAAAGTTTGGACCCCTGGTGGGGTCATACTGGCTTGGGTTGGGTTCAACCTTGAACAACCCTTAACAGGAGTCTCACTTTTTCATATGTAAAGTGGGAATGATAATACCTCTTAATAGGATAGGTTGTGTTCCTTTCCCAGCCTCTCAACATAAAAGTTCCTCATTGTCTCCTCTTATTTATCCTAATTTTTTCCCCTCCATTTTCTGCATAAGGCACATAGTCACAGAGGAAATTTGCAGAACTGTTATCAGGAGCAGGTATCATCTGTACATAGTGAAAGGAGCTGGCTCACTCATACTCCCAGACTCATCCTAATGTCACTGCATCACGGAAGTTTCTTCTGAGCATTTCCCACCCCACCCCTTAACAAGTGCTTCTCTGCCTCACATGGCCTTGTATCTGTTGGAGTTGGCCCTTCTCACACCGTATTGAGTGTGTTTACTGGCTTTCCAGTGGACCATGAGCTCAAATCTTTCATCTTTGAACCCCTGAGACCCAACTAGCTAACTAGCTCCTAGTAGAGTCTCTGTAAGATTTTGTTGAATAAATGAATAAAAGAATTCCAGTTTTGATCTTCCAGAGCCCTAGGCCCTGAGAATTCAGTATTGTTTCTATGACTTAGAAGTCATATAGTAATTGCTATGTTAATAGTTACTTGGTTTCTGTTACCTAGTGAAGAATTTACTTTCAAAGCCTGCTTCCTCCTTCCCCCAAATGATTACATCAAAAAGCCTTAACTAGGTAAAGGTTTTTAGCACAGTGGGGCAGTCATGCCTGGCTCATTAAACGGTAGGAACACATTCAACAGGAAGGCCAGAATGTTCTAGAGAGGTACAATGAGAAGCCCCATCCACTACCATTTGCAATTCGTGGGCTTCACCACTTTCTTAACCCTCAGAATACACCTTGTGTTTAAGGGAGGTGCCTGGGGAGACAAGGGAATCTTGCAGCCAACTGTGCCTCCTTCCCCAAGGATTCTACCGTCTGGGATCAGTTCGGGGACTCAGGGTGACCTCTACTCCTGTTTAACTTCCTAATAGGTACATGAATTCACTATGTTGAATTTGTTTTTTCCAGTAGAGGAGACGGCCTCTATGAATGTTGCTTTCAGAGAGCTCTGGCTATTTTGATATGAAAAGAAAATGCTATTAAATTTTCTTAGTAAATGTAGAAGTACAGAGGAGAACTTACTGTGCTCCCAGAGATACATTAAATAGTAATGTGTTGTGAAGTAGAAAATGGCTTTGTGTAATCAGGGCTTGCTCTGTTCTTGGGACATATTGCTGTTCAATTTAATAATCATCTTTGCTGTGAATTTTTAAAAAATCTTAGTGGAATATAAAAACAAATATTTATTTCTCACTCACTTTTCATGTTGGCGGATACAGAATAGCTTTGGCTAGATTCTACTCATTCCCCTATACATAGACAGAGAGAACAGTTTCTATTTGAGATTTTACATTTTGGTGACAAGATGGGAGGAGCAAGAGAGCTGGTGGGGCGGTGGGATGCCTCTTAAAGCTTCTGCTGGGAGGTGACATACCTCACATCTGTTCACATTTGATTGGAGAAAGCAGGTCACACAGCCAAGGCCAAAGTCTTT